CTAATGGACATAACCATTTTAATGACTAGAATTTTTTTATTTGCACATTGTTATTTCACTAGATCTTTGTATTGTCTGAATGGACAATCTTGAACTAAAAATTAGCAAGTAGTTTTCAGTTCATATGCCACTATGCTAGCATGGACAGTCTGTTTCAGAGCTTTGTGAGGAGTCATATAGAGATATGTTCAGAAGTCATTTCTAGGCTTAAGAACTTCTGGATACCTATGTGCACAATAGTGACAGGATATAAGTAGTGCTTGGGAAGATGTAGGACTGAGGAGAGAAACACATGAGAATCTAAGGTAACAGGGCGTGTATATCTGCCATCATGGCCAAAAATGAACACTTTCATTCAGCAACTTTCACATTACTAATCTTGGTTTCTGTGTAGTGTGGTACAGGAAAGCTGTGTTAGGGACAGATGATTCAAATGACTAATGACAAAAAAAAAAAAAAAAAATTCTCCAACAATTTAGGACATAACTTTTGTGCCTATTTGATTTTTTTTAATCTATGACTTAATTTAAAATATTATTTTAACTGGCCATGCCATTACTGACTTTAATATCATAACTATTTAGTGAGATAGCTAAACGTAAAGAGCGAATATATAGTCTGCCTTATGACATTTTGTGTATGATACCGCTAACAACCAAAGTAATACTTAAGACACTGTAACAAAGAAGGTAACCAGGGCTGAGTTTGGTCGTGCATGCCTTTAATCCTAGTTTGGGAGGCAGAGGCATATAGATCTCTGTGAGTACGAAGTCAGCCTGGTATACAAAGTGAATTCCAGGAAAGCCAAGGCTACAACACAAAAGAAACCCCATCTCAAAATCCAAAAGAGAAAACAAAAAAAGGCAACTATTATTTAGCAGAAGAACTACACATGCAGTTACCCTGCTACATTAGTCCAGATTGTAAATTTAAAAACTCTGTCTGGTTTCCTTAATAAGTGGCTAATTTTTCAACTTGTACCACTTGCACATTTAATTATATCATAGCATTATTTAAAGCAGCATTAGTCTAAATGAAAAAGCATGTAATGGAAGTTAAAGCCAATAAATTTTTGGTATTAGGAGAGTTCAAAAAAGATTAAAAAAAAAAAGTACCTTACCTACTTATTTATTGAACAGTTCCTTGTAGAAGCTAATATTTGAGACTTTTTTAAACCTTTTCAATAATTAGAGGTGGAAAACCTCCTGAAAATTTGTAATGAAATCATGATCAACAAGGTGAAAAGATGTGTGGCTGTTCCAAGCCCAAGACACTTTTTAAAATATTAAATCATTTAATATGTTGATAGAATATTGTGTCTCAGAAAAATCCCCTAACAAGCTTATCAGTCATGTATTACTCCATCTAAATCTGTCATGGGTTTAATATATTAACATGTGGTATATTCATATATATTGTATAATATTATAATATATTAATGTAATATAGATGATCACAAAGAGGTGAAATTCATGTATAAAACCCATCCCTTTGAAATCATAGTTACAGGTGTGTAAATTAACTTGGGTAGAAACAATCTACTCCATGATATTCCAGAAGACACCAAAGAGCACACCACAAGAGGATCTTAAACAAGATCCTCTTTCAGGTGGCCTCTGGGTACACAGTGACCTTTCTAAAGGTCTCCTCAAAGGATATTTTAGTCATGCAGTGATCTCCTTGAACACGAGTAATGACAAACAATAAGCTAATTCTGAAAAAGTTTTCTTTAAGTCATCTTTACTACTTATAAATGGGTGGGTTTGATGCATGATTTTGGTTGCCCTGATTAATGGGCACCAGCAGCCCAGCTTCTGGGGTTGTAATGTGTCTGTGAGCTTCCCTTCAGCCGAGCTCCGCCATTAATCCAGTGGCATATGTCAGCTCAGCAAAGCAAGGTCACTCTTCTGCTTCAAGGGGAACCTTTTTAGAAATAATAAAACTGACAGAAAGTTCTTCTGTATGCTTTATGCTGCCTGGGGTTGAGTGCTGCAGTTAATATCATAAAGCTTGTAAACATTCCCTTTGCAGGCAGCGACTGCTGCCACGGGGCTTAGGAATTTAAATGTTTTTTCTGTCCTTTTTCTTTTTTAACTAAGAACAGACATGTTTATGGGTATTAAATATATGATATGCAATCCTACATAGGGAAACAATATGTGGGAATAATAGTAGGAATCCTGGGTGCTAGGACTTTTTAGAGATCATTGGGTTTTGCAACTTTTTCATTATCAAATATGTTTGTTTTCATTTCATCAAATTTGCATCTGGCTGCATGTGTATTGAGGGATGCGTAGCAGTGATAGAAATAAATTAAGCTAATGCATACTCTGTGACCTACAGTGTCATGTTTCAGGATTGTAGTACATTTACTCCTGAATGAATATTTCTTAAATTATAAACATTTGTTTCATTGCTAATACCTACTTTAATATTGGTAGATATTAATAATGAGATAATAATAATGAGCTAATTTTCAAGTAATTTGTAGGTCCCTTGACTTAACCCAAACAAAAGCTATAATTGAACCAAAGGAAAATGATAGCTGTGTAGGTCTAATAAAGAAAACATATAAGCTTAAGCCTTACACAATTTAAAAATTAAACGTATATTACATGCTTATTGTTTTTACTTTAGAAAGCCAACTGTGACAGTAAAATATTCCTGGAAAGTTCCCTGTAATTTCTCAGTGTGTCCTCTAGAGCTTAATATTCAATTTCAATCACTGTGTATTACAAAATAAGACTTTATATTGGCTAAATATGCCTTGATTCTTATTCTAGATAGTAAAACTACATAAGTACAGAAATGAAATTTATTATTTACTACTTCCACTTAATTATTTAGAGAAACGCTGTTAGAGTGGCACCAGTCTTTCTAGGAAACCAATACATTGGTTCAGTCTCTAGATCAGGTCTGGGGATTTTGTCAAGCTTACAGAATAAACATATAATTGACTCACAAACAAGGGCACCAAATGTTGATACTGTCAAATATCTCTGTACTATGAGACTTCCTCTCAAAGAGAGTGCAGATTAATGACAAAACTGTCCTCCCTGGAAGAAATGGCTGGTTCCTGAGGCAGCAGGAACTTGGCTAGTGTAGCTGGATAATGGTGAAGTGAGTAAGGTGGCATCAAGATTGGACACATGATGTTATTGACACTTGTATCCCATATTAGTGAGCTAGTCTGCAGGGGTAAATGGGGTGTTTGCTTCTGCTCTGTGTATCTCTGCAGCCATGGGTCTCTCTCTCTCTCTCTTCCTCTCTCTCTCTCTCTCTCTCTCTCTCTCTCTCTCTCTCTCTCTCTCTCTCTCGCGTGTTTATGTAATGCTCCCTACAAAGCAACACTGTTTTACTCCTTATACAGCATACTACATTATTTGTTGTTGTGTTCATGCATTCTAACTCTAGAAATGGTTGTTCTGTTTTATACGTGTGTTGCCTAGATCTTTATCATGGATGGTTTTTTTTTTTTTTTTTTTTCGGCTTCTTTGAAGTAGTTTACTTCTGTAAGTGACTAATATTACCCATTAGTCATGCCACACTCAGTGCACATTTCCTGAAAAGGCACAACAATTTTGTATTCTGTAAGAGCTTTTGATGGTAGTCAGCAAAAGAAATAGAAAGCCAGTATAGTCTGGAAGTCAGAAAGACTGAGGTCAATCCTTGAGCTCCCCCCAAGTACAAGGATACAAATGTGAGTAAGATATATTATTGTGGTAAATAAGGGTCAGGATAAACAAATAGGCCGAATAGATGTTTATTCAGGGAGAAATAACTTACAACCTAGACAGATGAACACCAGGAAATTCAACCCGATCCTCTCTTGTCCGAGTCACGCCAGAAAGAGAGTGTCTCCCTGGCCCCCTCCGACCTCCTTCCTCAGGTCACCTCCGCCCATCGCTCCACCCCCCAATGGGCGTGGTCAGTGCTACAGAAGGACTACCTCACTACAATATATATTTCCTCTTCTTGACAAGAGAGATAGAGTGAAGTTAACTGTAGCCAGGAAAATACAGCAAATATGGAATAAGTATTACAAAATTAGAAAAAGTGGAAAGATCATCTACTGAACATAGACCAAGGCCAGGAAACTATGCATGTGCTAATAACTTACAACAAACCCACATGCCAGGCTTTAACATGCCCCCCTTTTTTCCAATCACAACACCACGGCTCAAGTGAGGGTTAATAAACTAACAATCCTCTGGTTAGGAAATACCAAAATCATACCTTCAAACCTAGTTCTGTATGACTGATCCATACTGCCTAAGACTGCTTTGCCAGCTAACCTCTTCTACTCTGTGCTGGAATGACTGATGCAGGCTTTCTTGAGATGATAGTTTGGCTAGGTAATAAAATAAATATGTGTTCATGAATTCACAGAGTCCTTCCAGAGTAAGAGCAGCAGAGAGTGTGGTCATAGCATCAGGAATAGGGGTCTTCATGGACCACCTAACCCAGACCGTACATTAGTGAGCATCAGAGGATGTTCAGATGATCCTAATGTGTCATACTAAAGCACTGCCTCAGGGTATAGAGCAGGTTTTTCTCTTTGATGCTTTGAGTGATAACCTGCGGAAGCTACAGGAATATAGCAGAGGTACATTTGCATGAGAAAAAGGAGTGTGTGAAATGGGCGGGAGGGGGTGGTGGCAAAGGGGAAGCATGCAATGCAATCTGGAGTAAAGGTCAAGTATGGGACATCTATCAGAAGGAAGGAACCAAAGATGACTGCAAGAAATGAAGCAGCTTAAAATCCAAACCTCACCTCTACTAATGGAAACACCGGTGGACTATTAGTAGCTAAACTGTGTTGTTCCTAAATCTTTGTGCTGTCTTTCTAACTTGAGAGTTTCAGAAGGTAACTGTAAGTGAAGGTAGGAACTTCAAAGAGATCATTAAAAAAATATAACCGTTGGGTGTTCCCTAATCAAATCCTACTGGTTTCTTTATTATTTTATTTATTTATTTACTTATTTATTTATTTCAGTGATACAAAAAGACATCCTGGAGCAAAAATGCACAGAAGAGGACAACATGGGGGCATCCATGTACTGGCGAAAACTAGAAGCCCTGACAAGCTCATCTCTTGCAGACCTCTTTGGAAACCAAGCCTCCTAACATGTAAGAATTGGATGAGGTGGGCTTAACTGTACACACAGTGGCTTTCTTTATCTATCTAAGCACGATCCCACATACTACCACCATCAGTTTCAAAACATTTTTCTTAATGGAAGACAGTTGGTTTTTTGTTTTGTTCTGTTTTGTTTTGTTTTTCTACTAAGTGAATGTGAATGGCCTATTTGTAAAAATCTACCCGCGTCTGTAATACTAGCTAGTAGGAGAAATGGATTAGTTTCGTAATACTTGGAAACTTAGATAGACTGTTTATGGACTTGATTCTCTGTAGATAATGAAACCATTTATCTAATTCAGAGAAAGACTTAAGGGAGAGATGAGTGCATTGGTGGTCAAGGTAGTGGCTGTACATTTTTATGGGATATCATATCCATCTCCTAGAACAAAGGGAAGCTATGCTCTCCTGATTTTTCTCACCATCTTTTGAATTTCCTGCTTACTTACTTAGTATGTTCTTAATATTGGCAATCTATTTGGCCCCAAATCCTTTGCTACTTGCTTGAGATTAAAGTTTAATTTTGGATTTACATTCTATAACACAGGAAAATCTAAAGCGAATTAGTGATCTGTTGGAAAGAGTGTTCATCACTGGAAAAAAAAAAGAAAAAAATACAGTTCAAAGTTTTAATCCATTTAACAATGAACTGAATAAGCTATGAGTTCATCTATCTTTCAATTGACATACCTTAAAAATTAAAATAAAATTCAGTAGAAATAATTTTATTTTGTTTTTGGTTTTTCGAGACAGGGTTTCTCTATTGCTTTGTGATTTTGAGCCTGACGGGAAACTCACTCTGTAGACCAGGCTGGCCTGGAACTCACAGAGATCCACCTGCCTCTGCCTCCTGAGTGCTGGGATTAAAGGTGTGTGCCACCACCGCCCGGCTGAAATTAAGGTATTTTGAAGGAACAGGCAAAAGCCCTCCAGAAGTTGTGTGTTAATGCCAGGTCTTTTTTGGTGGTGGTAGTGGTTTTTTGTTTGTTTGTTTGTTTGTTTTGTTTTGTTTTTGTTTTGTTTTTGTTTTTTGTTTTTCTCAGTCAGTGAGACATACATTTCAGCAATTTCTCCTTAGAATATGGGCACGTGCTGAATATGAAGATGATGTAGGATAGTAGCAATGTTAATATTTGATGCATTAAAAGTGTGTGTACTGCTCAAAGGGATGCCATCTGTACTGATAAAAGATAGGTTCTAAGTCTTTTCAACAGCCCTCTCAAGATACTACTTTCCCTTGATGGATCTAAACTTTTTTTTAACTCTTACTACTGAAAAATTATAGTTAACTGGATTTATCTAAATTAGTATCCTAAAATTAAACTCAAGGAAAAACAGCACAGATCTGGCTATAGAAGCACTATCATGTGAAATCCAAAATAATTTTTAACCTTGAATAAAATATTCCATATGTACAGGATTACACTGCTCTCTATATAATGGAAGAATAATGCCACCTCATCAAGGTCTTGGAAAGATTTTTGAAGTTTATGGTACCAGATGTGGGATGCCTCCTTTGAGGTGTTGGTCAGGGATGTTCTGGAGATCCCCCAGACAGTATAGGCTATCACCAGTCCTCTTGGCTGTCTACCAGAACTTGATGATAATACCCTATTTCTGTAGACACCACACATTTTGGTGAAAGGATATTGGAAAATGCAGTTAGTACTGACCAGGAATCTTCCTCCCACTGAGCTAGTTCTTAGAATACTGTAAATTACTCTGTGTGCTGTGGGATATGAAGTTATCAACAGTCTACCTAACTGTCAACCCCATGAACTACATTAATCAACAACAAGGTCAGATATGTCTATTAATGAAATGGAGGCACAGATGTTAGCTGCATAACAAACTTTTTTCTGACTGAATTTGAGGCCTACTTCACAGGAGAAAGTTATGCCTCATACTGTAAATCTTCTCAAGAACTGATGGTTGAGGAGTTTACAGGCCACAGTAGTGACCCTGGAAGTCCTCCTCTGAAGTGGCCATAATACCAAACTGTCCTCGAAATGCTTATATTTGTACCAATAGACCAGTGCAGCTCTCAGACTTCCTCAGAGAGGAATCTGTATGCAGTGGGTGGTGCTTAATGCAGAAACTCCTCAGAGATGAATTTTCAGATTGTCAGAGGATTGTTCAGCCACAAATTGGAACATCTGTATCACCCCCCACACAAAGCTCTAGGGGCCAATATAGAAGAGCGAATAGAAAGATAGTATGAGTCAGATGTTGGGAAAAAACAGAAGAAACCAGTGTCTTCTAGCCACGGCAAACCCCCTGCTTCATGAACTCATAGCACCTGTGTTTGTCTACACAGGACCTGTAGGAGATAAAGCTCACCAACTGTCTGGCATGGTGGGCATACTTTCACAAACTCCCTCCCCTAACTAAGGAGCTATGGGCCATTGATGGCTTCAGAGGGAGGGAGAGTCAATTTCCTTTAATTGATTCCCCTGGTAGGTCAACCACATCTTAGCGGATAACCCCAACCCAATGAATATATGGACAACACAAACTGGACTTGGTGAGTATGAAAAAAAAAAAGATACAAATGATTATTTTTGACCAGTAAGAAAAATTTAGCACCATTCTAAATGCTGAATTTTAGACAGATATAATTCCTGTGCTGTATCTGGGAGGACTTGGCGGGGGGGGGGGTGGCATGATCAAATGTATTGTATAAAATTCTCAAGGAATTAACAAAACAATTAATGGACATAGGCTCCTCATGCAGTGTCTTGTTCGAGTCAGTACCAGGTCGTGAAGATGACCTCCATTCTCCTGTACCTGGTTAAATAAGAGTTAAAGTGCATTTTAACAGTCTGGATACAAAAAAGCAATGCAGACAGCTCTTTAATGCCACAGCTATGTGTCATCCCTGTCTAGGAGCATAAATTTGCACAGCGGGCAGTGCAGTGAAAACAGCTCATAATCAACTCATCACCTCTCATCATTGCTGGGATCCAATGCAAATGGGAAAGAATGCCACTTCAGTCACTGCTAGTGAAAATTAGCATCTGTGACACTAATGGTGTCTCATTTTGTATGCACTTTAGATTAAAAAGAACCTTTTTAAAAAAGCTATTTCAAGAAGTGCCATTATTTCAATGTTTCCCTTTACAATGACAGTGGTATTGAATCTCCTTAACTCAGAGAAGATGCCTGTTAAAATGCATTTACACAGATTACCATCCTGGACATATTAAGGCTGCTTTGTCCTAATTACAGTTCCAAATTTCATCTGTGTGGTCCATTCCATTTTTCTTTTCAAACTTTCTAGCATGTTCCCTCACCTGGAACAAAGGTTGACCATGAGAGAACAATAATAAGCTTTCTAAGGATCTTGCACAGCCTTGAGCATATTGGAGTTATTCTATAACGCTCAGAAATGAACAAAAGCTGGATTTAAACACATACAAACAACTTCCTACCAAGAATCACATGAATAGACTCATGAAACTTTTCATTTTCCAAATATCAGTCAAGAGCCTGCTACATTGGAAAGCTAAGCAAATAACAATATTTTGAAACCACTTGGCAATTAAGAAAAAAAATGTGCACAATTCTAAGTCCTTAAATTTGGGCAGATATAGTACATAGAGAAATTTCATAGGTACAATTCCTGAATTTATTTGGAGAATGAGAGGGACCCTAAATTCCTTTTCAAAGTACAAATGCTCTTAAAGATGGATTCTGTCTGGTCTTTTAAAAATTCATCTGGCATTTAAAACAGAGATAGTAGCAGTACAACATCCAGTGTTGAAGTAGTGGAAATTGGTATCATATGTTCTTTTATATAACATATTTTTTATGTCTACATGTACTGTTAAGGAAATTGATTTTGTTAAATATATGCAATCTTTTAAGTGCCTTTGCCCCTATTTATGAAGCTCGATAAGAACTGTTCTCTAACAGAGCTCTAGCAAGTAGTAAATAGAGTAGAAAACCCATGTAGAGCAACTGTTAGATAATAAACACAGACAGCAAAAATAAACATGTTAGATAAACCCAAGAAAGACTATGTCCTATAATTATTTGAGCATTTATAGATCACATAAACAGTATAGATAAAAGGTTATTGAGTCTGTATATGGATATGCTTACAAGTCTCTACATTGCTGTCAGCCTTGAGCACTAGTGCTAAAAGAGTAAGAATAAAACTCAAGAAGGAAGTATGGTGTGCAAAGCAAGGTTATTTTCAACTAACATAAATGTAGAATGCATAGCCACTGTTCATCAAGTTTCATTTTTATTTGGAAATTACCTACATGCCAGATGGAATTCTGGGGCACACTAAATTTGTAAAAAATTATTAATCTTTTATTTTATATATAGTTAGGTACTTTATAATATGTCTTCAGATACTTTTGGGTACCCAATATGGAAGAACATTGGTTTCTCACTCTCAACCTATATTTTTATTGTTTAATAACATATTACGATGATATTCATCTTGCATATAAACTACTAAAGTAAAATAAACTTAGCAAAATTGAGAAAGTGTATAAAAGAGAGTGATGGGAGATGTCATTCTGTATATGTTTCTCATACTGGTTAATAATAAAGCACTGTTGGCCAATAGGAAAGGAAGATAGGAGGGACTAGGAGACAAGGAGGAAAGAGGAAGTAGTAAGGAGGAGTCAAGATGGAGAGTCTGAAGAAAGCAGTATGCCGCCGGATCCCCAGTAAGAGAAATACATAGATCAGCAGAAATGGGTTAATAATTAAGGCAGAGCTAGCCGATAAGAAACAAGTAACAGGGCCAACAGTATTGTATCAAATACAGAGTCTCTGTGTATTATTTGGGGCTGGCGGCTTGGTGGCGGAACAAGAGCAGGCGGGGGCGGGCTTGGCGGCAGAACAAGAGCAGGTGGTGGCGGGCAGAAAAACCGAACTCGTTACAAGAGAGGTACATGATAAATAATAAAATAAGATGTAGGAAAACTATATTATTTGTTTTAAAGTTTTCCTCATTGGCTTATTTATTGGTTATTATAAACAAAAGAAAATAACACATCATTTTGTATATAGTATTCTCTAAAATCCATTGCATATTGCATTCATGGATATTTCAATGTCACAACTTGAAGACTTATTAGAAAATACTAATGACAAAGTCTATTTCTTTATTTTTACCTGATATATAGGAAAATAAAATTTGTGCATGGTCTGGCTATCACATGTTTTGGTACATACATAATTTTTATAAATGTTTAAACATAACCCTTCTCAAACACCCATAGATTTATTTCGTGTGTGGGGGGGGCATGTGGGCATGCGTGCAGGTGCTTTACATGTATGTGCATGTATGCATAGAAGCCACTGGGCAGCCTCAGGTGTTATTCCTCCTAGGTCACTCTCTGTCTTGGTTTTTGAAACAGTGGTTCTCCCTGGTTAGAAAGTCCATGGTCTTGCTGGTTAGGCTAGGCTGACTGTCCAGCCTGCTCCAGGATTATACCTGTATCTACCTCCCAGTGCTGGGGCTGGGAGCATAAAATACCACACTGCTTTTTTTTTTTTTTTTACATAGGTTCTAATGATAAAATGCTTGCATAGACAGCACTTAATAGACTGAACCCCCAACTTAGCATTTCAATAGAAGATGCTTCATTTTAATTACATATAGTCATCTTACTATGCAATAGCCTCCCAGAAATTCTTAATGTCACCTAATTCAGTACCACTGGTATTCTATTTACATTTTAAAAAGTCATTAGTTTTTATTTAAGGTAACTTTGGGTATCATAGATTTCTCCTGTTGTGGTACTGGAGGATGAAACCTATGGACACTTTCCGTGCTGTGCCATCTAGCTACATCCACAGTCCTAAATTTATAGATTTAAATTACACCAGATGGTTAGATAACATTTCACTCATTTTATTATGATGATACAATAAAAGAAAAAAAATCCCCTCCATACTCTTTTTTTTTTTTTTTTACATTTTTTTAAATGTAAATTTGAAGCAAGCTTGTTTTACATGTCAATCCCAAGTCCCTTTCCCTCCTCTTCTTCCTTGTTCCCCCCTCAACTCCCATCCCATCTCTCTTCTGCTCCCTAGGGAGAGTGAGACCTTCCATGGGGGATCTTCAAAGTCTGCCATACCATTTGGAGCAGGGCCTAGGCCCTCCTCCATGTGTCTAGGCTGAGAGAGTATCCCTCTATTTGAGATGGGCTCCCAAGGTCCATTCGTGTATTAGGGATAAATACTGAGTCACAACCAGAGGCCCCATAGACTGCCCAGTCCGCCTAACTAACACCCACATTCAGGGAGTCTGGGTCAGTCCTAAACTGGTTTCTCAGATGTCAGACTAGAGTCCACAAGCTCCAGCTTTGTTCAGGTCAGCAGTTTCTGTGGGTTTCTCCAACCTAGTCTTGACCCCTTTGTTCATCACTCCTTCCTCTCTGCAACTGGATTCCAGGAGTAGCAGACACCCACAGCTAAACACTAAGCCGAACTCCTGGAATCCCCTCCATAGTCTTGAGAGCACAACTCACAGTGCAAACAGTAATATCCAGCATTTCAGGCAAGTTTCTGGGTAGCTCTGTTGAGACTTTCTTAGACCAGAGTCACACTCCAGTCTTATATATGGGGTTATTTGTATATGGAGGAGTACTCCTTCTACTAGCCATCTGTCAGTAGGAATCAGAATGAAATCTGTTCTTGTCATCCCTTCTGGATTACACCGTTTATGCATAAAATATGCAAAACTTTTCTTTGGTAAAATAAAATTGAATAATAGGAGTTGTTCCTTATACATAGTTGCTATAATTGGCAGACTATTAGTTCCATAACAAAAAATTTTAAATTCATATGTTTACATATTTTCTGTGTGGATATTTTTGTGATCTATTTTATTCTCAGGTGCATTTAGTGTATTTTTATTTTATATATGAGGAAGTCAATAAAATGACTGATAGTTCACATGTGTTATAGTAATTGCTTTGATTAAGCCCATTGCAAACAATAAAAGATCATTTGAAAACAATTTCGTGACATGAATATACTGACAACACACTGTGTAATGCAGTCCTTTGAAATAACCAGATGTCATATTTGAGACATTTAAGAGGAAAAGTACTGCTTTATTTTAATTTTTGTAATCTTTCTGAAAGCTATTTCCAGCTGAATATTTATTTCATTTAATCAGAGTTATTTTACATACAAGTAATCACATGAGGAAATATAAGTGAAACTTTGAAAAAGATTTTGGTATATTTTGGGATATGTTGCTTTGAATTTCCGTTTTAGTAGGAAAAAGGCAGAATTTGCAATATATTATTCTGCTATACTTTTATACGAGGCTTGTCTAAACTTTACTGGATTTTTTTTTCGAAAAAGTGTAATATTGAAAATTATTTCCTACATTACAAAATAATTTATTCTCTTTTTATTTCAATTAAAAAAAAAGAGGGTTTCAAAACACTGAGCAATGTCACATGACACCTCAATTCAGAAGGACACAATTTCTAAACTGTTTCTTTGGCAATGACAAATAAAAGCCAAGAAGAAAATATCAACTCTTTAAAAATGTTCAGAATCTACTACTATTTATCTCACAAACATTGAAAAACATTAAATTTTCCTTTAGTTGAGAAACTTTAGAAATGTATACACATAGCAGAACAGTTCTGACATCGTAATTCTATACTAAATAAATTAATGTTACAGATAAACAAATATAGTACTTTAATAAAATTAAATTTGGATTACTCTATGCCTTTTTCAGTGGCAATTATCATCAAGAGAAAGAATAAAAAAACATTCTACATTAAGTCTGGCTTATCAAATTTACTAATTCTGTTGCTTCTCAAAATAGGACACAATACTTTCTCTAGTGACAGTGTATAAATTCATTTCTACAACAGGATACTGTAGAATAACATTCAAAATATAAAAAGAAAAATTAACCCCCGAAATCTCCATATTACAGTCTTTACAATTTCCTATTTTAAATGACTAAAATTTAACAGATAAAATAATTTATTGAGTACTCTGGGAAGACATTGAACACCTCAGTAATGAAAACTGTGCAAAGAGAGTCCATGATAGTAATGGCTTAAGCAGAGATCACCAAACAGATTTCCTTAACGTTATCTGAACCGAAACTTAGCTACCAACAAAGAATTGAATCTAATACACAATTGTGAGACCATAATTGCCTATTGGCATCTAATTTTGCCAGGTGAATTTTTCCATAGGTTCTGTGAATTAACTGAATGACAGACAAAAATGTTATGTGTGTGTGGTGGTGGTGGGGGTGATATGTAGCTTGTATGTGTGTATGTGTGTATGCATCCACATGTATGTATGTTGTCAGTATGTGTGTATGTTTGAATGTGTGTATGTTTGAGAAGTGAGTTGTATATGTGAATATGTGTGTGTGTATATATGGTATGTGTATGTGTGTGGGGTGTGTATATGGTGTGTGTGTGTTATGTTTGTATTGTATGTGTGTACGTGTACTTTCTAGTAAGAAGTTTTGGTTTATTTAACAATGCTAGAACTTAACTTACCTTCGGTTTTTGGTGTTTCTCCTTCTCTGAGGCATTGGATGGCTTCCTTTTTAGCATTTTGAATGTGGGCCGCCTCTAGTCAGTAGGTTCTGCTGTTACAGAGACAACTGAAAACAGACAACAGCAGCTGCTGTCTGAGATGCGCAGCATCAGATAGCTCTGAGCCCTGTGGTGTGGCACTTCCTCCTTTGGTCAGGATGTGACTTCAGTGTCTACTTGGGTAAAGGTTTCTTTTTTTTTTTTTTTTTTCCTCTCCTACATTACCATAATTATTTGGCAACTCTACTGTCTTCTCAGTGCTGTATACTATGATATGTTTCCTATCTCATACCTTTGGCATGACTACATTAAAGCCAAAAACAAAACTTATTTTCTCAGTTTATATTTAAAAAATTGAAGAATTTAGCATATTAAATGGGAAGGTACAAGAGGAAAATATCTAAACGGAATCAAACGGAATAGTGTAGATTTTCATTATCAAAAATAAGAGACTATTTTGAGAATTTAATTTTATAGTTCTGTAATTTTTCATTCTTTGATGTTATAATTACATCATTTCTCCCCTTCCTCCTTCCAAACTTTCCCAGGTACCTGCCCTTGCTCCCTTTCAAGTTCATTGCCCATTTTTCTTTAATGCTACATGTGTGTGTTTTTAAATATATAATTTTACATTTCTAAACAAAGATCAATTTGATATAAATTATATTAATTTTTACTAATTTTCCTAACGTTATCCCTATACTACAAAGTATAGGTTAAATTTACCTAGCTATAAATAGGATTATAACTCCACATATAAATGACTATGCTTAGGTTACCTTTTTAAAAAGCAAGCATACCGTTGCTATAAACCCCTGATTTAAAAAATGAAACACTTCCTGCTACATAGTATAATTCTGTATTCTGAAAATTGCTGGTTGGTAGATGACCTCACAGACTGATCAGTGCTTCCTTCAAATAAGGCATATAGTGTCAACTAAGAAAGCCTAGAATAGCACCAACACATCTTAAAGGTTTTATTAAAAGCCAAACCCAGTTGTCCAGAAGTAAATGGGAGAAGCTCATGCTGTCATACAAAAAGAAGCTTTACCAGAAGTGCCTGTGCAGTGTGCTTTGAACGCTGGCTCTGCCTTAGCCAGATGCTTCAAGACAAGTTTCTGTTTATCAGTTACTTGGGTTAAAACAATAGTGAGGTATTCTCAGTAAGAGCATCCAGGTACCAAAGCTTCGGCTCCTCTTTCTCAGTTTCCCTATTACCTCTGTGCCTTCTTCCTTGAGGCCCAGTTAGAATTTGCTAAGTCACTTAAGAAATAGTAAATTGAGTACCCACTATGTGCTGTTGGACAATATATCAAACCTCTTCACTAAGAAGAATATTACAATATTTTATACCCCACCATAGAATTGGTTAAATAAAATACACTTATGAGGATTATAGTTAATAGGCTGCTCCAGTTATTGAGGTCTTTTGAGTATTAAGAGTGAGTATTTTCAGAATACTGACAGGGGAATAACAACAGAAACCCTTATAACTCCAAGGCCCGGTAATTTCCAAGAAGTGAACCTTTCTGGAAACTTTATGGGTGGCCTCAGTTAACCTACAGTGGTAAGCTAACTCTTTATCTAAGAAATTGAAAGTCATGAAAAGATTCTTCCCTTACCTCAACATTTGTGTTCTTTGTGCTTTGTCTAGTAGATACAAGTTTAATTCAGTAATGGAAGTTGATCAGTTAGATGAGAGAGATAGGTAGCAGAACCCACGGTATGGAAGTTTCATTGAGAATAAAAGCCAGTGCCAAGGTACGCTACTCTTATGCAATATCACTTCCAAATAGTTTTATATCAATAACTACTGGGGATACCAGACGAATGTGAAATATCACACAGCATTTGCTATAGTTTATATTTTTATAATGACAACTAAAATATTGTAAATGCTTACATCTCTGGTAACCACAAGTGTGTGTGTGTGTGTGTACAGTTTAAATGAGGTCATACTACATGTTATAGTAATGGTCCCCCAAAGCTATATACTTCCTAATAAACCCCTGTGCCAGTCATGAGAAACAACCCTTGTGAGTTCTTGATTGTTGGTAGGGACATGTCAAAGAGACTCACAAAACAATATCTACTATTGTCAGTACCCTTTGTTAGCTCCCAGAATTTGAAGGTAATATCATATTGATGAATATACCAGATACAGGACTTAGATGAACCCATTAGAACTGTTCTGGAAGCCTTTTCCCTGAGGGTTAGCTCTAATAGTGTCAGATGGTGCTACGCAGCTGCCAAAAATTACTTTCCCAGAAAAAAAAAAACAAAACAAAACAAAAACAAACAACAAGCAAACAAAAACTGCCTATTGGTTACAATAGTGGCACAGTTATTTTAGGGTACCAACAACTATCTCATTGGACTTCGGGCTTGCTCAATAGGAGGAAATCTATGCCTGATTCTGTAAACGTAATGAAGTGCCTGTGGCTGCAGAAGTCATGGACTCTAGAGAAGAGCCTACTCCTGTCGTTTTCCTGAACCAATATAATTTCTAACTGTATCTTAAATGCATATTCTCATATCCAAATGTAGCTTTCTCTTCCCATCAAAAAGCTTCCTTTTGTAGCATATTGTGCTTACTGCAAAGATCCACAGCTGGTAAACATGTAGAGAATAGGAGACTTTGGGTGGCTAACCTCAATGCAACCCTATAGCTGGGTCCAGGGACACAGGGGAGGTGTTGTGAAAATAGTGTAAGAGCCAGAGAATCATTGTACTTGCTGCTGGATACACATGCACGCATGCACGCACACACATATGTCTGAATGTATTTCTTTTGGACTTAAGGCATATACATATGTATATATGTATGTATACTTCCTTTATGGACATGGCTATTGGCAAACGGTCCATATATATATATATATATACATATACTTAATTGGACTTAGATTATAAAAGAAGATAAAAGGGCATGGAATTGAGAGGTATCAGCTGGGGATCCCAGAGGAAAGGAAGTGAGACGGGAAATCAGATATGTGTGTGTGTGTATGTGTGTGTGCGTGTGCGTGTGTATGTGTGTATAAATCAGGATTAATAGTATGCACATATGAAATTATCAGAGTATAAGATTTTTTTCAAAGTAAGCAATATGATACTTAAGAATTCCATATAAACATTGTTTATATATATTTCTAGGCTTTTGATCAGCACCATTACCATAAGGTCTATTTAAATTGTAAATAAAGTCAATATTTTGTTTCAGTTTTATAGATGAGAGAAGTAATTTCCAATCTTTTACTTAGGAAAAAATGTTCTTTGGCAATTGAAATATAAGATGCTAGAGCTCTTATTACAATGTAACAGTGTTACTGTACTTTACCTTTAGAAGATATCATGTAGCAAATGCTTCCATTAATTTACTTGTATGTTAGGGAATTCTACAATTCAGAGATTTAATGAATGGACGGAAATGCGCCAGTAAGTCCGGAAGTCACCAGTCAACGGTACATGATGGAGGTGGAAGATCAACACTGAGCACACCTAACTGCTGGTCATGATTAGGGTCAACCACTGGGTCATGTGTTGCTTCAGATATGTGCGAAAGAAGGAAATTGCGAAAGTATCCTCTTGGTACTTTGCTTTCACAGGCTACCTCAAGGGTTTTTATAACAGATGCAAGACAACACAAGTATAGGACAGGGTGTACATGGCCACTTCCTATTTGTGTCATGGATGGTGAGTCAAATGTTTGGAGAAATTGCAGTGAAGTGAGAAAGTGAAAAGCATATATTTTGGAAAATTAAAATTAGAATTATACAAGTGATTCTTTGATCCACCAAACATGGATTCAGTAACTGTGAAAGCCAAATCACACTTGGCAGAAAAGTAGTTACCATGGGGAATTTCTGTCTGGTGGATGTGTTCTGAAGACATTTATTGTCTGAGGACTTCCTTCCACATCTCTGCCTTTACCACTATAAGGTAATGAATAAAATTAAATAGAAGTGTCTTATTGCTTCTAGGTTACGGTTTTTATGTTATGATGTTTTACTTGTTTAATTTATGAATGGTTTTGAAATCAGATCCTTTAGACTGGGTCTAGACACGCCCACATTGCCTTCATGGTTGTGCCTTTTTCAAGCCTGTATGCTTGGTCATATACAGTCATTTGCCCCCACACTTTAATGAGACAACTAAGACTCAGACCAGTTATAGATCCCACGGGAGGCAGTCCCCTTTCTGAACAGAAGCAGGACTGGATGGGAGGAGCAGAAGGGAGGTGGGGGAGAGAATAGGAGGAGAGGAGGGAGGGGAAACTAGTCAGGACATACATGGAAATATTTAATAAAAAGAGAAGAAAATAATAAAAGGTAGAATAATAATATTCAAAGAAAAGAAACAATCCAAAACAGTGCTGACTATACCTCAAGTGCTCATTTGAGCATGGCAATGGGGAAGTACCTTGCAAGAACTTTAATATCAGGGACATGTCTACCATCATGGAGCCCTCATCTAGTAGCTGATGGAAACAGAAGCAGATATCCACAGCTAAACACTGAGCCAAACTGGAATCCAGATGCAGAGAGGGAAGAGTTATAAGAAAATGTAGACAAGACCAGGCTAAAGAAACCCACAAAGACAGCTGACCTGAACAAGGGGGAGCTCATGGACCCCCAGACTGATAGCTGGGAACCCAGCATTGGACTGACTCAGACCCCATGAACATGGATCTTAGTTAAGAGGCATGGGAAGCCTAAGGGACCTCTGACTGTGGAACCAGACTGTATCCCTGGTGCAGGAAAGGACTTGGGAGCACATTCCCCCTGGAGGGATACTCCCTTAACCTAGAGACAGGAGGGAGGGCCTAGTCCCTACTCCAAATGACTTGACAGATTTTGTTGATCCCTCCTGGAAGGCATAACCCTCCCTGTGGAGTGTGAGGGCTGAATGGGATGGGAGGGTGATTGGGGGGGGGAAGTGTGGGAGGGAGGAAGAGAGGGAGGGAGGGAGAGAGAGGGAACTGGGATCGATATGTAAAATAAGAAAAATAAATAAATAATTAAAAAAAACAAAATAAATAAAATCAGGGACATCACATACTCCATCTCTGAAAGGTCTCGTGGAAAACAGATGACCAAAAGAGAAGACATCATTCTATT